TTAGATACAAGAGTGGTACATTTATACAAATAGGATGATCACACTCAGTAGATTATGAGCTTTGTAATGATACCTTACAAGAGACCTTTTGCATGAAGCATATCCCAGTTACGTTATATTCACTTATTACCATATTTTTCTAAAATTATCCCAGTTACATTATATTCACTTATTATCATGTTTTTATAAAATCATATAGACTGCACAACATCACAGCCACATGATCATAAACAGAAAGGGAGATAAGACAGTAAGATACTATCTCTAATAAGATATGGTCTACCCAATGGAAAACATTTGAAAATCCCTGCCTTTCGGCTGGTCCACACTGGGGCGGGGGATCGATATAGGAAACGCAACTTCAGCTACGAGAATAGCGTAGCTGAAGTCGACGTTTCCTATATCGAACTAAAAGTACCTACTTCGGGTCCACGCAGCGCAGGCAGGCTCCCCCTTCGACAGCGCTTCCTCCTCTCGGCGAGCAGGAGTTCCGCAGTCGACGGGGGAGCGCTTCTGGGATCGATCTATCGCGTCCAGATGAGACGCGATAAATCGATCCCAGAAGATCGATCTCTACCCGCCGAAGTAGGCGGGTAGTGTGGACCAGCCCTTAGTGTTTTACATTTTCTTAAATACAACAATCCAGCAAGCCATTGTTGTGTCCAGTTTTTATGCCTTTCTGTACATTGGTAAGACATAATAATTTGTGCAGTAAGTTTTATTATATTGTCATTATTTTCTTGCCATGTGCCATCCCCAGTATTAACTTTTAATTTCTTTTTCCAGATCTCTCTACTGCTATGTTTGATCACTATATGAACAAAAATTACTTTTCTGGATTGTGTTCCTTTTAAGAAAATGTATTGTTTCTGAAGTGTTAGAGCAAACCAGTGTAGGACCCTGCATGTTTCTAATGCAAATTTTACATTTATAGGATCAGTTTAGGGAGGATCAGTTTAGGGTTACCATTCGTCTGGATTCTCCCGGACATGTCCGGCTTTTTGAGTTTAAAAATAACGTCCGGGGGGAATTTGTAAATGTCCGGATTCCCCCTCTCCCCCCATGCAGAGCGCGGCACAGCTGACAGGGCAGCCAGCCGGATCGAGCCACTCGCATGAGGCTCCAGCAACCAGAGCCCCTCCTCCGCTTCCCCCCTCCTCTCCCCTGCAGCTTCAGATCACTCCCCTCCTCTCTCTCCCCCTCCCTGCATTCGCAGATCGCCGGCCATTCGCAATGGGCCTCCAGCAGTCTGGAGCTCCTCCCCCTCCCCTGCTGCCCAGCGCGCCGCTCAGCAGCACTCTGCGAGGGCGGGAACCGGGCTATGCGCTCCATGGGGGAGCGCGGCAGTGTGTCGGGCTTCGCGTGGAGCCCGACACGCTGTTCTGAGCGGCACGGTAAGGGGGCCAGGGGGTCGGAGAAGGGGCAGGGGGGTTCTGGAGGGGGCAGTCAAGAGACAGGGAGCAGGGGGAGGGTTGGATGGGTCAGGAGTTCTGGGGGGGGCTGTCAGGGGGTGGGGGCGTGGATGAGGTTTTGGGCAGTCACGGGACAGGTAGGGGGTAGGGTCC